AGCTGGTTGGGACACTTTTGGTGGCCTGCTCTTCAACGAAATAGTGTACTGATTGGATAAGTCTGATGGTTACGTTTCTAACCTAAACGTTGAACTAAGCATTTAATCATAATCCTTTTGATGTCCGATGACTCTGAGAGCAGCCCGGCCTACACTCTTCAAGAATTGGCCTTTATGAATGTAAGTACTACTACCGTATTGATGAACATTAGGCAGGACGTTAAAACAGATCATATACTGCTTAAAAATTTGTGGCAGCCATCTGGGCAATGCTGATTGAGGTTACTACACGATGGAGTGAAATCTCGAGCATCTAACCAGCTGAAATTTGAAGTGGCATTTCTATGGAATGAAAGACTCGGCATGGATTCACCTAAGTATCCCATTAAAACCAAATTCCCTTGTGCTAGTGAGTGTACTTAGCTTCGGAAAAATAATGAAAACTTGAAAAATGATTTTGCAAACAAGTTTTCATACAGAGTAACGGGTCAACTGAACTGTTTTGAATGCAAAGTGTGACGTGCACATACAGGTCAGCAAAACCAATACACCGATAAGGGTTCATCAGATCTAAGAGCAAGCTGAATAAAGGCATAGCGTGGCATTGTTGGCCTTGCCAAATCAAGTTAACGTTACCCAGAAATTTCAGATGCTTGTACAATCTGACACTACAGCCTGCTGTTTTAATGACGGTTTTGTTGACAGTCCAAGAGTATTAGCAAATCACAAGAGACTTTAACGAATATACACTCATTTGCAAACGAATTTGGTTTTACGAGAGACTCCCCTGGAACCTAGCCGAATCTCTCGTTTGCGATGTTCTCAGGCAACCAAATGTGCCGCACCAAGACGCCTCATGTTTCAGTCGCTACGATATTCGAGATATCGCAAAACATGTATATCTTTCAAATGTACTACTCATAAGGTTGCTGAAAATCCGTCGACAGACCACGACCACCACGATCGTGGCCTGTCGACGGATTTTCAGCACCCCTATGAGTATCACATTACAAATACATACATGTATTGCAATATTTCAAATATCGTAGCGATAGAAACATGAGGCGGCCTGGTGCAGCACATTCAGTTGCCTGAGAACATCATGAACGAGAGATTCAGCTGGGTTCCAGGTGAGTCTCTCGAAAGAACCAAATTAGTTTGCAAATGAGTGTATATTCGCTAATTTCGTGCAATTCGGTTTCAAGTAGAACATAAGGTTGACGGAAACCCGGGGACTGCGCCTACCTGATGAGCCCCAAGAAGGGCGAAACCGGTGGTGGGCTGTCGATGGATTTTCACCAACCTTATGAGTAGTACATTACAAGGATATGACAGACTTTTTTGGGTAAACACAGCTAATACATTATGAAAATCGAGCAGTGCTGTACGGTTTTACTATCCTACTTAAGGATCATTATCAGAATGCATTTTGCGGAACTCTAGCCATTAGGTGAACGCGCATTCATGTGGCCCCCAGCGTCTGAACTGGAAGGTGATCACTTCTTACTTATTCAGGACATGAGGCCTCTCATTCTTGAATCACGGATTCACGTCACGTATTGACTGGCCCCTCGTGTGACGGGTTCGCAGACAGATGTTTCACAAAAATTTCTATATTTCATCTCCCTTTGAGTTGTTCACTGGTTGTTGATTGCTGAGGAGATTAAGGACTTTATTGGAAATTTCACCTTGGGAGTGAGGCCTTCCTATACTGAAAACTGACGCATCATAGAGCTTTTTCATCCTTAATTGAACTCATGCCAACTGTGCGCCCTACGAAACCCCTCTTATTCTCACCCAAAAAAATTCCTGATTGATCGTTTAGGCAATTAACCATCCGGCTGTTGCCGTGTGATCCTTGATTTTTGAGCAGCAAAAGTTTATCCAATGAAGCCAGTTGAACTGACGCGGTTTTTAAATTCTTGTCTAAAGTTTGCACATAACAAACCAAATCCCTCCAGAACCTAAGCATAGAGCTCATTGCTAGATGGCGGTTAAACAGAACACCACGAAGATTTTCCAGCGCACGCTTCCGCCCAAATGCAAATGCTTTACGTCTATTATGTTTTATTCTGTATATGATTTGTACCAGCCGGAAAATAATCATTGATGACACGTGATCCTAGAGTCTATTTTTTCAATAACGTCGCCCAGCAGACGGTATCCCAATTTGTAAGGTTTGTCGTAATAAGGGCTAAACAGAGGCGAATGCAATATTCGTTTATCAGTTTCGGGATAGGTGTTCTGAAGAAACGTTTAAAAGGAATTTTGCAATAATTTCCGCGATGACGCAGGAGAACAAAAATTACGAAGAGAAGACAGGCACAATGTAATCCGTTCCAGTTTGACATGCGCATTTGAGCTTAATAATTTGTTTGATTGAACTGCCATTAATTCCTCTCGCCTATCAAATTTGAGTGTTTTGACTACATTCGGTTGTGACCTTTTGCTTAACCCTTTGCTTAATACTGGAGTCGAGAGTCAGTGACTCCTTATCCAGATGAATGGCTCAGAGGGAGGACGTTTCTTCACCTTTCAAAATCCCTGTTGTTCCATGCGCAAGCTATATGCTCGGCGGCACATCAACCTTGGCGATCAAATATCATGTTTCAAATTACGTCGTCAACCATATGCGGATTCTACACGTTACAATGACTATGCTGAGCAGCAAATGGTTGTTGTGGAATTTGTATTGTAGGTAGCAAAAATTTTACCGAATTTGTATGTAATGATATACTTAATGCCTTGCTGACGCTTCACACAGATGTAACCAAGGTATCATGTTATACCTTATTTAGTTATTGTATCAAATTGTTAGTGTCGTTCGAGAGTCTTCAGAAATCTATAAATGGTTATTTTTTTCGAGAGATGTACATGATAAGTTTTTTGACAGGCAATGTGCCTATCCACATTTTTGTGGATCTTGGAAATAAATACGCCCTATTTTTGCAACCAGTAGGCAGCTCTCCTGAGATGCGTCGTGTGCACATAAATGGATGATGTGACTAGAGTAATACATTTAATGTTCCACTTGGATTCAACCATGCTAAATTGCTACGCGGTTGTGAATTATAGCAAACAGAGCTTAAAGCTTTGAACTTCCTATAACTCTCTCCAGCCAGAATTTGCGTTCCTGTATCCCGGATCTACCTGTTGGGCAACGATTTCAAACGTGAAATAGTATCAATTTACCAAATCTACCTATCCAAGTAAGAAGTTGTCTACGTACATCTAACTTTTCAGTCAACCAACCAACTTACCTAAACTCAGATACGCTGCAAAATGCGCGCTGTGCCAAGATTTTGGATTTTGGTATGCATTGATCAACTGGGAAAGTATTATGAAACTATTGCTTGCAAACTGCAGTTTACCATAATTTGATGAGAGTGTAACCATCCACTCAGTTCGCAAAAACTGAGCAATTTTAATGGTTCTGTTGTGCAGCAACGACATGAGAACTTTAAAGGCCTCAAAGCATCCAGGTTGAAAAAAGGCTGGAATGATACGAAATCGTTTGCTTGCTGCTCTATTTTTTACTCATTTAACAATAATATTTCAGGATAGCAAAAACGGCTGTACCTTAGTCGAAAAATGCGACCGCGGATCATGGGATCAATTGTTCGCTACTTCAAATTAAAAACTGTGAGCAAGATATGGCACTCTCTTAACATTGTGGGGTTTGCAGGAAGTTGCTGATCTTACCATCTTCGAAAACAACTTAAATGTCCCAAAGAAGCTATAGAGTTTTTTCCGTAGGGAAACTCTCTCTATGCATTAGCATAGAGTGATCTCACATATTACTTCGGGATTCATCTATAGGCTCCCGACTTACCAGTTGCAAAAGAAAACACAACAACGGAGAGTGTACCGTTACCCCCGGAGGCTTATAGTTTGACAGCGACCGAAAATGATTTATCGTCATTGACTGAAATCTTTCTTAGACGCTAGATTGTTAATTTCACATTAAAAGTCAAGTAAAAGCTGCTGTGGAGAATTATGGCAAGCATTCAAAGTTTATTAACAACAGCTTGTTAAACTAGATATCGTATACGTGGTATAGAGAATGGTGCAATGGGTTCCGTTATGACTCTCATGGAATAACTTTAAATTCTATTAGTTTTTCCCCTGAGTAGATAGTAGTTGCAAATGCAATATATTAAGGAAGCGGTGTTGTAAAAGTTTCTATTAACTGGAGTACATGGTATTCAGGTTTCCAGACGCACATTTAACTTAAAGTCATTCTTCATATCATTTAAGAGACCATAGCTCTTCACAGTAGCATTACTTTAACGTTAGGTGTCCTTACCTCAGTATTCATAGATTGAAGATACTTAAAAGATTACTTGCACTGAAAGTGACGGTTTGCATTCCAATTTTATCTGGAATACATTGCAAGATGGATACAAATTTTGTGTTTCGTTCGGGTTTACCATCTATCCGCTAAATTAAATAAGTGACCACCGGAGGATTGTTCTCACTTGTGTGGCGATGTCTAGGCATTAATTAGGAAGTGTATACCAACGAAGGGGGATAAATCATTGTTGAGTGAATTATTTTTTCACTCGAAGTCTACCCAAGTTTGGTTGATAAAATTTGTAGGACCACAAGCTTTTCCCGAGGACTACAAAGATTAAAACAATAACTCTTAAAATCATGCTGTCCACACGTAACACACGGATGAGAAGGTACAAAAAACCCTTCAGCCGCACAAAACCGGTTTGACCCACATTGGTGGGTGCAGTTCCTAAGTCATCGATAACCTTACTTTGCAACCGAACCTAGCTGAATGTATTGTTTGTGGTAGTCTGCTTCATTAGGTCTTCGCCGTCAGTTGACATACGTGTTTTATTTCCGCTTTGGTGGACATCCGTAATGCAATTCGGTAAGCATGAATAAGTGTGAAAAGCAGAAGGAATTACACTATGATCCACATACCAAGTTGTGATAGCAAAAACGAAACAAACATAATTATGAGTTAAAGTAATATATTTGTGTTTTATGCCTTTTTTAAAATCAAACTTCAACAGGTTGAATACGGAAAATATTGGCTGTGAGCATTATTTTACATGCCTTTATAAGAGACCGGATGGTGAATTTGGAAATGCACTCAAGCGCACATCCTGCACTTTATTCAGTCCACATGAAGTGCTCCCTTCCGACATCAGTAGGTCTGAAACACGTAAAGAACAAAAATTGTCACATGGTGTCTGAAGCGATGGCAGGATGTATCAGTAAATGGATATGGACTCACTTACTTCGAGGTACGCGGTATTTCATTGCTGTAACACGCCAAGCATCTCGAGTTTAGTACAGTTGAAGAATATTGGTGCACCGCAAATGTGTGAGAGGCTTACCCAAACTCTCTGATAGGTTGCAGTCTTTGTGCTCACAACAGTAATCGCCAGCTTTATTTTCCCACAAATTCCCTTTTTCACATTTGTATTCATAGTCATTTCCAGCACCGTATTTGATAAACTGGGACAAAAGAAATATTTTAGACTAGTGCTTTAGTGGCGAAATGGGTTGACGTAAATTAAATATGAGTAAGATGTTAATCCCAAATGTTACCTTGCAAAATCTGCACCCGTCTTCATAGGTAATAACCCTGTTATTAAGTTCGTCCCGCACTGTCCCGTTGGCACACCTAATGCCTGCATACAGTTATATGGCAGTTGCGGAACTAACTTCTGTAACACGAAAAGAAAATGTATTAGGATAGGTATTAGTTGAATCATTTACCTCGAATTCCTTTTGTCGAATCTCCTGTTACGAGTAAATTTGAAGCCGTGTAAATGTTTGATTGACGGAGCATCGAGCTTGCATAATGGACATACTTACCCATTGTTGCGTTTACATTACAAAAATCCACCTCGCAGAAGATACCGTCTTTGAATCTGCCCGCATTCTCTTCAGTAATACAGTTGTAGTCTTTGGGATGTTCTCTTAACTAAATGCATCAGACATTTAGAAATAGGTTAAAGTAGCATACGCGGATTTCATGTAAGAAAACAAAGGAAAAACTTACCAGTCAGTAATATTTAACACTTACCCAACAATATATGCATCCTTTGGCCAAAGATGACTTATAATTGTATTGAAAAACACACTGAATACCTGCAAAATTAAACAAGCAACATGGAATTCGCATACCACAGGACGTCGCAGAAGCGACTGGCACCATATGCACAAACATCATTAGCGCCATGATGGCTAAATTAAACAGAAACATGGTGCCTGAACATTTGATTTTGGGGGAGGTGTGCTTATATAGGCTGCACACACGTACGTCTGACAAGATAACATGCGTAAACCTGTGCGCAAGCAATAACCTGATCCCTCTCAAGAATATTCATTGCCTGATCCGCCTTACAAAGTAGCAGCTTATAAAGGCTGCCACCTTTAGAGCAAATTTTGTTGCTTGCATCTTCATGTGCTTTCACCAGGTGGTAGTAAAGAAATTCCGTGTGGCGTTTGCCATCAACAAACATTTAACCCCGTGTCGTTTATTAAACTTCGTTTAGATATATTACTCCGCTCACGTAAAAGGTCAAATAGGACAGCTTCTCAAATTCGCTTAAAAATAATGCTAGTCACCACGGAAATTTCATTGAAAATGTTGGCATCAACCTAAATGGTCCCGTTTTGGACCCCCAGCATATGATTTTAATTCGTTTTGGTTATTCGAGTTTTGTACTGCGACAATAGTATAATTGCGACAGTAGTGTAACGGTGGTTGATGGGGCATGCGAGTTTTATCCTGGTGAATACGCTTCACGTGTCTTGAAATGTGACATCTATTACGAAATTTGTGGAGTCTCTTTTTATTATTTGCTTGCATTTGAGTAACAGTCAGCGAATATCCTTGGAAGTTCAGGAAGACGCGTTGAAGGAGAAGATGGATATTCAGTTTTTAAAACAACATGCATATGAGAGTTTTGATCCCCTGTTCAATAGTCTGTTACTGTTCAGTTGATGTTTTTCTAATAACCTCCGCAGCGAAAGCCCTCTTCCTTTCGCTAGGAACCTCAACATTGCCGTAGAGACAGGTGTCTTTGATTTCACTATTCGTCAACGATAACCATTATCTGGGGTGATGAGAGCAGACAGTTCGTTGAGGTAGCCGAACATTTGGTCACGGTTAAGAAGTTGTCGAACTCAACGGATATTTATACCAGCGATGAACACCCTGCGTGATCAGTACAACAGTTGAGTGTTCCAAGTGAACGGACAACTTGACATTTAAAAGGAATTACCAAGGACTGCTTAATCTACGTGCGTGCTGAATAACTGTAGTTAAACGAAAAATTATCTTTCAAAAAAACCCATTGAATAGCAGATTTAATGGCACACCTGCACTTTCTAATAAACCCGGATAACCCAAGAAACATTGTTTTAAGTGTCAGCAGCCCACAAAATCAAACAGCAGCTCCAACCGCTTGAGCAAAACTAGAAGCCGATGTTGGTTCCAAGGAAGGGCACAGGTAAATTCGCGGCCTAAACACTGTAGCAGTGCGTTTACTGTAAACGAGCTAGGTTTGTCAGGATGAAACTATTTTATCTATATACCAAAGCCCTTTTGGACATTGGTTGATCTCGATGCTTCTGAGATTGTACTCCAATGTGTACTGGTGTAATAATGTAATAATGCAGTGTAACAGTCCATAGAACCGTCAACGTCTCCTGCCAACTCAAGGAGTCCTAAAAATCGTGAAATTGGAAGGCTCGCTTAGTAAAATTCTGAGCTAAAGAACCTGGTACTATTTAGTCAAATACTTCATGGATCAGGCAAGAACGACGCACCGAAATTCAGTATGCTTTGCATCAAAAGTGCAGAGGTTCTACATCGTTCGTATGACAATAGGGTCTACGTTTAAAAGATGATCAAATATTATCAAATCAGCTTCTACCAAAACGTGATTTGACCCAAAACCGGGGACACACCGAAGGCAAATATAAGTATGAAACTCAAATAAGCTGCTTATATGGACACAAAATACTACGAAACTTCGCGCTGTTTACTTAACTGCTTTTGCGTCTCCACGTTGATGGAAGCAAGACATCAGCGTTAAATATCAATGTTATGCATTTGATTGTGATGTTGATGACGGCAAGTTAAATTGGTGCCGTGTCAGCTAGGAGCGCTTTCCGGAACTTTCACATCTACAGCGAAAACCGAATTACCCCCCTCCCAATTAGTGCACTTTTCTGCAAAGTAGAATTTTATGGGTACAAAGGTGCGCAAAAGTCAACTATTTAAGTGCTCTTTCGGCTATCCGGAATGAGGAACATAACTGCCATGCGACAGAACAACAATGCTGAACAATAACGTGGTATGTATTGGGAGGCATAATATATATTAAAATGTGATAAAATTTCACGTTCGTGCTTTCAGGATCAACAAATTGACTGTTACACTGCACAAAAACTAAACCCATTGAACCACAGAAAAATGTAAAATATTTGGACTTTTAAAGCGGCTTATTCACATGGATGGTTCAATGCACCTAGAACACTAGAGTGATTTTGCGAGTTTGAGGCTATTCCACCGGTCTCATAAAACATATTTCTTCCAGTTTGCTTGAGTTAGTATATCTGATGTGGCACATATCTGTCACACACTTACTTCGTTTATAAATAAATTTAAAGCATGTTTGAAGTGCCCACCAGACCGAGGCCGTGCTCTGCAAATAGGTTCATAGCAAACATTAACCAAATATTTGCGTGGCATTTCTAGCACTCTAGGTGAAACGATAAAACATTCCAGAAATCTAAGCCTTGGCTAAATTGTTTTTACGGCTTATGATAGACTGAAGGATAATGGTGTCAATCGAGCTTGTGGCGAGTTTTCTGCATTAGCTGACATTAAATAGATAAAGCCGCAAAATACTTACCAGTTACCTGACGGATTTCAAAAATGCCTAAATAGGGGTGAGAAAACGCACATAAAATGTGCACTCATATGTCGCTTTTATCAAAGTTCAAGAGTTAGTAGTGCCAGAAACGATGCAGTGGGGCGCATAAAATCGATAGATAATTGGTATATTTAAGGAAATGTTGTAGGATATCTTTACTTTTTTATTCAGCTTGATTCAGCTTGATTAACATTAAAAAATGGATTAGTTTGTTTGAGTAAAACAGTAGTACATTTAATCCAGAAAAAGTACTACGTAACGCAACCAACGTAAAACTCGTTGTCACGACTGAACTCATCGAGGACGCGTTGACTCAACATTTTTTTAAGTTTCACATGAAGGCGAATCCTTTTGCAGCTAGTGTCACAATAATCAGTTAACTAGAGCCATTTTTCGTAAGAAGTTTGTCCGTTTAATGGGATAATATTTTGAATCTTCACTGTCTAAATGATATTTTTGTGGGTGGCTTGCGTGGAGTACATTCGGTATTCTGAAATGAAACGCATAAGAAGTATATGCTGCAGGATGAAGACCAGTAGTGCCGCAATAAAACGTGAAGTTGTCAAATATGACTCAATCGTCATTAGCTTCTTTTCACGACATGTATCCATATATTCCATACTCTGAAGGACATAATTGGCTCCTAAACGAAGATAAGTTCTGATCTACCGACAGTCTTGCATCGCTGCATCACTCATCGGCACCAAGTATATCGTACCCTCTGGGATATGTTGGATCTCGTTGATCAGAGCTTACATTATTTGGCTGAGTTACCTTCCACCAGTTGACGTATGATTTGGTAATCCGAATCTCTTGGAATTGTGTACATTTTACGAAAACTTTGGCAACTGTAAATTTTCCACATTGTTGCCTTCTGAATACTATTGGGTAGTCAATTTGTGACTATTTTTTTCCAGTTGAAACTGAGTTAAACGAGTAACTTGTACTTCATAAACATTGCCGCTGAAAATAATATCAACTAAGAGCAATGATAGTGCACTATCCATCAGACGTGTCTGTTTTCCGCTAGAATTGAAGAATTTGTGTGGCCTAGGGTTGGTCGACAAAAAATGTACGACTTCCGTGCACCTTGAGCACCGAAATCTGGTTGTAAATTGTGCGTGATTAGAAGACCACAATGACTAAACACAATTCCGTCCATTTGTGTGTCAAACGGCGCCCAAGGCAATCAGAAGCCTGACATGAATGTTGCGGGTGCGAAATTCTCCTGCGTTTCCTGAATCTGAAATGTGCACAGAATCAACCATCCTCAGTTCAGGTTAGCACTATTATATTCTCATTCCGTGTCGGATAATGAACGCATGATTTGTGGCAACACATTGCTTTAAACATAAAAATAATGCTTGTAGCAGAAGACGCTGAAATTGCGTGCGTGCGTGGGTTTGTCGCGACAACGGCATATCCCAAACCCGTCAGTCGTAATGCTTTCGCAGTGTGCACAAGCAATAGAAGTTACCAACTTCGTACAATCTTCTCAAAAGTTTGGATAGTGTAAAAGCCGGGGCCGAATCTGTTTACCCCAATCTACTGATGACATTGAGGATATGGCTTGATCTCCCATGATTAAGATGAGTTGGCAATAAATTATTTCGATGATCTTATAAGCGTTTGTTTAACTGATATAACCCATTGTCACGATATGTTAGCTCCCAACTCCGTTACACTTTGAGAGTCCACGTTGCCGCCTTAAGTTCACCTCAGAAATATTGCACCTATATACGAAAAATGTATTATAGCCTAAAAGTGTTAAAACCTGTCTATAAGCAAACTGCTTTAGCAAGTGACGCCTGAAAATTTTTGCTTTCTTTGCATCGCATTTCCCACACTTAAGGACCCTCATTAAAATCCACTTTTATTGAAGAAGTTGCCGCAGGACAAAAATGGTGAGCAACCTGTCATCTACCGCTTGATACGACAATTACAAATGAATACACTTTACCATATAATGGACATAGGGAATGCTTTTTGGCAGTGTACTGGCTAGTAGCAGATTTTACGAACAATAGTATATACCCACAGAATAATTATTGTTAAAAGCTTTAAATCTTTAAATCAGAAATACCAAAGGAAATCATCGCAATCAACATGAACAAATAAAAACTTCAAATGAACTAAGCAGAGAGTGCGCAAGAAAATACAGAAGCAGAAAAGGGTGCAGGATCTTTACTTGAAATATGTT